ACCTGTACACACAGAGCCCTATACACACACCTGTATACACACACAGCCCTATACACACACCTGTACACACAGGGCCCTATACACACACCTGTACACACAGAGTCTTATACACACACCTGTACACACACAGCCCTATACACACACCTGTACACACAGAGTCTTATACACACACCTGTACACACACAGCCCTATACACACACCTGTACACACAGAGCCCTATACACACACCTGTACACACACAGCCCTATACACACACCTGTACACACAGAGCCCTATACACACACCTCTACACACAAAGCCCTATACACACACCTGTACACACAGAGCCCTATACACACGCCTGTACACACAGAGCCCTATACACACACCTGTACACACACCTGTACACACAGAGCCCTATACACACACCTGTACACAGAGGGCCCTATACACACACCTGTACACACAGAGCCCTATACACAGACCTGTACACACACAGCCCTATACACACACACCTGTACACACACCTATACACACCTGTACACACAGAACCCTATAAACACACCTGTACACACAGAGTCTTATACACACACAGCCCTATACACACACTTGTACACAAAGACAAAGATCCCCCGTATAGCCTGAACAGACTGTAGGGGCAAGTGCTGTTAGCGAGCACCTATGAAGGCCGGAACGGTACACGAGGGGGTGGGTGGCCAGCACCACGCCCGACCGCCTTTGTCTCCCTAGTGGCAATGTTTTCACACCGCACCAGGTACTCATTTGAGGCTGAGTCGACCTAGGGGAGGCCCGGGACCGGTTCAGATAATCGTCACTGGTGTTGGCCGTGAGCGGGAATCGAACCCGGGTCGCCAGGTTCATAGCGCAGCGCGCTAACCGCTACACTATCGCTCCCTATACACACACTTGTACACACACAGCCCTATACACACACCTGTACACACAGAGCCCTATACACACACCTGTACACACACAGCCCGATACACACACCTGTACACACACAGCCCTATACACACTCCTGTACACACAGAGCCCTATACATCTGTACACACAGCCATACACACACCTGTACACACAGAGCCCTATACACACACCTGTACACAGACAGCCCTATACACACCTGTACACAGACAGCCCTATACACACCTGTACACACAGAGTCTTATACACACACCTGTACACACACAGCCCTATACACACATCTGTACACACAGAGTCCTATACACACCTGTACACACAGGGCCCTATACACACACCTGTACACACACAGCCCTATACACACACCTGTACACACACCTATACACACACCTGTACACACGGAGCCCTATACACACACCTGTACACACAGAGCCCTATACACACACCTGTACACAGAGGGCCCTATACACACACCTGTACACACACAGCCCTATACACACACCTGTACACACCACAGCCCTATACACACACCTGTACACACACCTATGCACACACCTGTACACACAGAGCCCTATACACACACCTGTACACACACAGCCCTATACACACACCTGTACAGAGCCCTATACACACGCCTGTACACACAGGGCCCTATACACACACATGTACACACAGAGCACTATACACACACCTGTACACACAGGGCCCTATACGTACACCTGTACACAGACAGCCCTATACACATACCTGTACACAGACAGCCCTATACACACACCTGTACACACAGAGTGTTATACACACACCTGTACACACACAGCCCTATACACACACCTGTACACACAGAGCCCTATACACACACCTGTACACACAGGGCCCTATACACACACCTGTACACACAGAGCCCTATACACACACCTGTACACACAGAGTCTTGTACACACACCTGTACACACACAGCCCTATACACACACCTGTACACACAGGCCCTATACACACACCTGTACACACAGGGCCCTATGCACACACCTGTACACACAGAGCCCTAAACACACACCTGTACACACAGAGTCTTATACACACACCTGTACACACAGCCCTATACACACACCTGTACACACAGAGCCCTATACACACACCTGTACACACAGAGCCCTATACACACACCTGTACACACACAGCCCTTTACACACACCTGTACACACACAGCCCTATACACACACACCTGTACACACAGAGCTCTATACACACACCTGTACACACAGAGCCCTATACACACACCTGTACAAACAAAGCCCTATACACACCTGTACACAAAGAGCCCTATACACACACCTGTACACACACAGCCCTATATACACACCTGTACACACAGCCGTATACACACACCTGTAAACACAGAGACCTATACACACACCTGTACACACACAGCCCTTTACACACACCTGTACACACACAGCCCTATACACACACACCTGTACACACAGAGCTCTATACACACACCTGTACACACAGAGCCCTATACACACACCTGTACAAACAAAGCCCTATACACACCTGTACACAAAGAGCCCTATACACACACCTGTACACAGACAGCCCTATACACATACCTGTACACAGACAGCCCTATACACACACCTGTACACACAGAGTGTTATACACACACCTGTACACACACAGCCCTATACACACACCTGTACACACAGAGCCCTATACACACACCTGTACACACAGGGCCCTATACACACACCTGTACACACAGAGCCCTATACACACACCTGTACACACAGAGTCTTGTACACACACCTGTACACACACAGCCCTATACACACACCTGTACACACAGGCCCTATACACACACCTGTACACACAGGGCCCTATGCACACACCTGTACACACAGAGCCCTAAACACACACCTGTACACACAGAGTCTTATACACACACCTGTACACACAGCCCTATACACACACCTGTACACACAGAGCCCTATACACACACCTGTACACACAGAGCCCTATACACACACCTGTACACACACAGCCCTTTACACACACCTGTACACACACAGCCCTATACACACACACCTGTACACACAGAGCTCTATACACACACCTGTACACACAGAGCCCTATACACACACCTGTACAAACAAAGCCCTATACACACCTGTACACAAAGAGCCCTATACACACACCTGTACACACACAGCCCTATATACACACCTGTACACACAGCCGTATACACACACCTGTAAACACAGAGACCTATACACACACCTGTACACACACATCCCTATACAGACACCTGTACACACAGAGACCTATACACACACCTGTACACACAGAGCCCTATACACACGCCTGTACACACAGGGCCCTATACACACACCTGTACACACAGAGCCCTATACACACACCTGTACACACAGGACCCTATACACACACCTGTATACAGACAGCCCTAAACACACACCTGTACACAGACAGCCCTATACACACACCTATACAAACAGCGTCTTATACACACACCTTTACACACACAGCCCTATACACACACCTGTACACACAGAGCCCTATACACACACCTGTACAAACAGGGCCCTATACACACACCTGTACACACAGAGCCCTATACACACCTGTACACACAGAGTCTTATACACACACCTGTACACATGCAGCCCTATACACACACCTGTACACACAGAGCCCTATACAAACACCTGTACACACAGAGCCCTATACACACACCTGTACACACACAGCCCTATAAACACACCTGTACACACACAGCCCTATACACACACCTGTACACACAGAGCTCTATACACATACCTGTACAAACAAAGCCCTATACACACCTGTACACAGAGCCCTATACACACACCTGTACACACAGCCCTATATACACACCTGTACACACAGCCCTATACACACACCTGTAAACACAGAGACCTATACACACACCTGTACACACACAGCCCTATACACACACCTGTACACACACCTGTACACACAGAGACCTATACACAGACCTGTACACACAGAGACCTATATACACACCTGTACACACAGAGACCTATACACACACCTGTACACACAGAGCCCTATACACACACCTGTGCACACAGAGACCTATACACACATCTGTACACACACAGCCCTATACACATACCTGTACACACAGAGTCCTATACACACACCTGTACACACAGAGACCTATACACACACCTGTACACACACAGCCCTATACACACACCTGCACACACAGAGACCTATACACACACCTGTACACATAGGGCCGTATACACACACCTGTACACACAGAGCCCTAAACACACACCTGTACACAGAGCCCTATACACACACCTGTACACACACAGCCCTATATACACACCTGTACACACAGAGCACTATACACACCTGTACACAGACAGCCCTATATACACACCTGTACACACAGAGCCATATACACACACCTGTACACACAGAGCCCTATACACACACCTGTACACACACAGCTCTATACACACACCTGTACACACACAGCACTATACACACACCTGTACACACAGAGAACTATACACACACCTGTGCACACACAGCCCTATACACACACCTGTACACACAGCCCTATACACACACCTGTACACACAGAGACCTATACACACACCTGTACACACAGAGCCCTATACACACACCTGTACACACACACCTGTACACACACCTGTACACACACACCTGTACACACACACACCTGTGCACACACACCTGTGCACACACACCTGTACACACACACCTGTACACACACATACACACTTGTACACACACACACACACCTGTACACACAGAGACCTATACACACACCTGTACACACAGAGCCCTATACACACCTGTGCACACACACCTGTACACACACCTGTACACACACACCTGTGCACACACACCTGTGCACACACACCTGTACACACACACACACCTGTACACACACACACACACACCTGTACACACACACACACACACCTGTACACACACACACGTACACACACACACACCTGTACACACCTGAGCCCTATACACACCTGGGGGATATATCGCACCCCTGCTGCATGAAGGCGCCCAAAGAGAACCAGAGGCTGTTGAAGATGCTAAACTCATTGGGGGTTTCTGAGGAGGGGGCCACTCCAGAGGGTGGGGACACTTGGACGGGGGGTCCCTGGGGGGGTCCCCCTCCTGCACCCCCTGGGACCCCACCACCACCACCACCACCGCCACCGCCACCACCGCCACCACCGCCACCGCCACCACCGCCGCCACCACCGCCGCCACCACCGCCCATCGCTCCAGGAATGCCCATCACAGAGCCCCCTAGAAGTTGGAGCAGAGAGGCAGGTTGTGGAGGGGTAGCAGGGGCAGGGGTCAGGGCAGGGGTTAGAGGGCAGGGGTTAGAGGGCAGGGGTTAGAGGGCAGGGGTTAGAAGGCAGCGGTTAGAGGGCAGGGGTTAGAGGGCAGGGGTTAGAGGGTAGGGGTTAGGGGGTAGGGGTTAAGGGGTAGGGGTTAGGGGGTAAGGGTTAGGGCATGGGTTGGGTTAGGACAGCTGGACATGGGCTACAGGAACAGCTGGATGTGGGCTATGATAGTAACAGCTGGATGAGGGCTATGATAGTGACAGCTGGATGAGGGCTATGATAGTAACAGCTGGATGAGGGCTATGATAGTAACAGCTGGATGAGGGCTATGATAGTAATAGCTGGATGTGGGCTATGATAGTAACAGCTGGATGTGGGCTATGATAGTGACAGCTGGATGTGGGCTATGATAGTAACAGCTGGAAGTGGGCTATGTTAGTAACAGCTGGATGTGGGCTATGATAGTAACAGCTGGATGTGGGCTATGATAGTAACAGCTGGATGAGGGCTATGATAGTAACAGCTGGATGAGGGCTATGATAGTGACAGCTGGATGAGGGCTATGATAGTGACAGCTGGATGAGGGCTATGATAGTAATAGCTGGATGAGGGCTATGATAGTAACAGCTGGATGAGGGCTATGATAGTGACAGCTGGATGAGGGCTATGATAGTAACAGCTGGATGAGGGCTATGATAGTAACAGCTGGATGAGGGCTATGATAGTAACAGCTAGATGAGGGCTATGATAGTGACAGCTGGATGTGGGCTATGATAGTAACAGCTGGATGAGGGCTATGATAGTAACAGCTGGATGTGGGCTATGATAGTAACAGCTGGATGAGGGCTATGTTAGTGACAGCTGGATGTGGGCTATGATAGTGACAGCTGGATGTGGGCTATGATAGTAACAGCTGGAAGTGGGCTATGTTAGTAACAGCTGGATGTGGGCTATGATAGTGACAGCTGGATGTGGGCTATGATAGTAACAGCTGGATGAGGGCTATGATAGTAACAGCTGGATGTGGGCTATGATAGTAACAGCTGGATGTGGGAGCTATGATAGTAACAGCTGGATGTGGGCTATGATAGTGACAGCTGGAAGTGGGCTATAATAGTAACAGCTGGATGAGGGCTATGATAGTAACAGCTGGATGAGGGCTATGATAGTAACAGCTGGATGAGGGCTATGTTGGCAACAGCTGGATATGGGCTATGATAGTAACAGCTGGATGAGGGCTATGTTAGTGACAGCTGGATGTGGGCTATGATAGTGACAGCTGGATGAGGGCTATGATAGTAACAGCTGGATGAGGGCTATGATAGTAACAGCTGGATGAGGGCTATGATAGTAACAGCTAGATGAGGGCTATGATAGTGACAGCTGGATGTGGGCTATGATAGTAACAGCTGGATGAGGGCTATGATAGTAACAGCTGGATGTGGGCTATGATAGTAACAGCTGGATGAGGGCTATGTTAGTGACAGCTGGATGTGGGCTATGATAGTGACAGCTGGATGTGGGCTATGATAGTAACAGCTGGAAGTGGGCTATGTTAGTAACAGCTGGATGTGGGCTATGATAGTGACAGCTGGATGTGGGCTATGATAGTAACAGCTGGATGAGGGCTATGATAGTAACAGCTGGATGTGGGCTATGATAGTAACAGCTGGATGTGGGAGCTATGATAGTAACAGCTGGATGTGGGCTATGATAGTGACAGCTGGAAGTGGGCTATAATAGTAACAGCTGGATGAGGGCTATGATAGTAACAGCTGGATGTGGGAGCTATGATAGTAACAGCTGGATGAGGGCTATGATAGTGACAGCTGGATGTGGGCTATGTTAGTGACAGCTGGATGAGGGCTATGTTAGTGACAGCTGGATGAGGGCTATGATAGTAACAGCTGGATGTGGGCTATGATAGTGACAGCTGGATGTGGGCTATGTTAGTGACAGCTGGATGTGGGCTATGATAGTAACAGCTGGATGAGGGCTATGATAGTGACAGCTGGCTGTGGGCTATGATAGTAACAGCTGGATGTGGGCTATGTTAGTGACAGCTGGATGTGGGCTATGATAGTGACAGCTGGATGAGGGCTATGATAGTAACAGCTGGATGTGGGCTATGTTAGTGACAGCTGGATGAGGGCTATGATAGTAACAGCTGGATGAGGGCTATGATAGTAACAGCTGGATGTGGGAGCTATGATAGTAACAGCTGGATGTGGGCTATGTTAGTGACAGCTGGATGTGGGCTATGATAGTAACAGCTGGATGTGGGCTATGATAGTAACAGCTGGATGTGGGAGCTATGATAGTAACAGCTGGATGTGGAGGCTATGATAGTGACAGCTGGATGTGGAGGCTATGATGGGCACAGGTGGTCGAAGGGGCGTGGCTCTGACATCACCCCGCCTACCTGACGTCATGAGGTGGTGGGGGAAGCCCCCGGCCGCACCCCCGGGGCCTCCCGGCCCCCCGACCCCGCCGGGGGGTAGCACCGAGAAGGGCCCCCCGTGACCCCCGTGACCCCCATGACCCCCCAGACCCCCACCACCACCGCCACCACCACTCATGATGCGGTTGGCCTCGGCCGCATTGGCGCCCTCCTCTGCCGCCTTCTGCCAATCGTAGGGGCTGTAGAGAGAAGGAGGGGGGGCGGAAGTGGGCGGTGGGGGATGAGGGCGGAAGTGGGCGGGGCGGAAGTGGGGGGGGCGCGGAAGTGGGGGTGGGGGATGGGGGCGGAAGTGGGGGGGGGGCGGAAGTGTGTGTATTTAATGTGCGTCGTGTGTATGTAATGTGTGTATGTAGTGTGTGTAATGTGTGTATGTTATGAGTGTGTGTAATGTGTGTATGTAATGTGTGTATGTAGTGTGTGTAATGTGTGTATGTTATGAGTGTGTGTAATGTGTGTATGTAGTGTGTGTATGTAGTGTGTGTAATGTGTGTATGTAATGTGTGTATGTAATGTGTGTAATGTGTGTATGTAATGTGTGTATGTAGTGTGTGTTATGAGTGTGTGTTATGAGTGTGTGTAATGTGTGTATGTAGTGTGTGTTATGAGTGTGTGTTATGAGTGTGTGTAATGTGTGTATGTAGTGTGTGTTATGAGTGTGTGTAATGTGTGTATGTAATGTGTGTATGTAGTGTGTGTTATGAGTGTGTGTTATGAGTGTGTATAATGTGTGTATGTAATGTGTGTATGTAATGTGTGTAATGTGTGTATGTAATGTGTGTAATGTGTGTATGTAATGTGTGTATGTAGTGTGTGTTATGAGTGTGTGTTATGAGTGTGTGTAATGTGTGTATGTAGTGTGTGTTATGAGTGTGTGTAATGTGTGTATGTAACGTGTGTATGTAGTGTATTTAATGTGCGTCGTGTGTATGTAATGTGTGTATGTAGTGTGTGTTATGAGTGTGTGTTATGAGTGTGTGTAATGTGTGTATGTAGTGTGTGTTATGAGTGTGTGTAATGTGTGTATGTAGTGTGTGTTATGAGTGTGTGTTATGAGTGTATGTAATGTGTGTATGTAGTGTGTGTTATGAGTGTGTGTTATGAGTGTATGTAATGTGTGTATGTAGTGTGTGTTATGAGTGTGTGTAATGTGTGTATGTAGTGTGTGTTATGAGTGTGTGTTATGAGTGTATGTAATGTGTGTATGTAGTGTGTGTAATGAGTGTGTGTAATGTGTGTATGTAATGTGTGTATGTAGTGTGTGTTATGAGTGTGTGTAATGTGTGTATGTAATGTGTGTATGTAGTGTGTGTTATGAGTGTGTGTAATGTGTGTATGTAATGTGTGTATGTAATGTGTGTTATGAGTGTGTGTAATGTGTGTATGTAATGTGTGTATGTAGTGTATGTAATGTGTGTATGTAATATGTGTAGTGTGTGTGTGTAATGTGTGTATGAATGTATGTAATGTGTGTATGTAGTGTATGTAATGAGTGTATGTAATGTGTGTATGTAGTGTATGTAATGTGTGTATGTAATATGTGTGGTGTGTGTGTGTATGTAGTGTATGTAATGTGTGTATGTAATATGTGTGGTGTGTGTGTGTAATGTGTGTATGTAGTGTATGTAATGTGTGTATGTAATATGTGTAGTGTGTGTGTGTAATGTGTGTATGTAGTGTATGTAATGTGTGTATGTAATATGTGTAGTGTGTGTGTAATGTGTGTATGAGTGTATGTAATGTGTGTATGTAATATGTGTAGTGTGTGTGTGTAATGTGTATATGTAATATGTGTAGTGTGTGTGTGTAATGTGTGTATGTAGTGTATGTAATGTGTGTATGTAGTGTATGTAATGTGTGTATGTAATGTGTAATGTGTGTGTGTAATGTGTGTATGTAGTGTATGTAATGTGTGTATGTAATATGTGTAGTGTGCGTGTATGAGTGTATGTAATGTGTGTATGTAATATGTGTAGTGTGTGTGTAATGTGTGTATGAATGTATGTAATGTGTGTATGTCATATGTGTAGTGTGTGTGTGTAATGTGTGTATGTAGTGTATGCAATGTGTGTTTGTAATATGTGTAGTGTGTGTGTGTAATGTGTGTATGGAGTGTATGTAATGTGTGTGTAAATGTGTAGTGTGTGCAATGTGTGTATGTAGTGTATATAATGTGTGTATGTAATGTGTAGTGTGTGTGTGTGTAATGTGTGTATGTCGTGTATGTAATGTGTGTATGTAGTGAATGTAATGTGTGTATGTAATGGGTAGTGTGTGTGTGTAATGTGTGTATGTCGTGTATGTAATGTGTGTATGTAATGTGTAGTGTGTGTGTGTAATGTGTGTATGTAGTGTATGTAATGAGTGTATGTAATATGTGTAGTGTGTGTGTGTAATGTGTGTATGTAATGTATGTAATGTGTGTATGTAATATGTGTAGTGTGTGTGTGTAATGTGTGTATGTAGTGTATGTAATGTGTGTATGAGTGTATGTAATGTGTGTATGTAATATGTGTAATGTGTGTATGCAGTATATGTAATGTGTGTATGTAATATGTGTAGTGTATGTAATGTGTGTATGTAGTGTATGTAATGTGTATGTAATGTGTAGTGTGTGTGTGTAATGTGTGTAGTGTATGTAATGTGTGTATGTAATATGTGTAGTGTATGTAATGTGTGTATGTAGTGTATGTAATGTGTGTATGTAATGTGTAGTGTGTGTGTGTAATGTGTGTATGTAATGTATGTAATGTGTGTATGTAATATGTGTAGTGTGTGTGTAATATGTGTAGTGTGTGTGTAATGTGTGTATGCAGTGTATGTAATGTGTGTATGTAGTGTATGTAATGTGTGTATGTAATATGTGTAGTGTGTGTATGTAATGTGTGTATGCAGTATATGTAATGTGTGTATGTAGTGTATGTGTAATGTGTGTATGTAGTGTATGTAATGTGTGTATGAGTGTATGTAATGTGTGTATGTAATATGTGTAGTGTGTGTGTGTGTGTAATGTGTGTATGTAGTGTATGTAATGTGTGTATGTAATATGTGTAGTGTGTGTGATGTGTGTATGCAGTGTATGTAACGTGTGTATGTAATATGTGTAGTGTATGTAATGTGTGTATGTAGTGTATGTAATGTGTGTATGTAATATGTGTAGTGTTTGTAATGTGTGTATGTAGTGTATGTAGTGTGTGTATGTAATGTGTAGTGTGTGTGTGTATGTAGTGTATGTAATGTGTGTATGTAATATGTGTGGTGTGTGTGTGTAATGTGTGTATGTAGTGTATGTAATGTGTGTATGTAATATGTGTAGTGTGTGTGTGTAATATGTGTATGTAGTGTATGTAATGTGTGGATGTAGTGTATGTAATGTGTGTATGTAATGTGTAGTGTGTGTGTGTGTAATGTGTGTATGTAGTGTATGTAATGTGTGTATGAGTGTATGTAATGTGTGTATGTAATATGTGTAGTGTGTGTGTGTAATGTGTGTATGTAGTGTATGTAATGTGTGTATGTAATGTGTGGTGTGTGTGTGTGTAATGTGTGTATGTAATGTATGTAATGAGTGTATGTAATATGTGTAGTGTGTGTGTAATGTGTGTATGTAGTGTATGTAATGTGTGTATGTAATGTGTGTATGTAATATGTGTAGTGTGTGTGTAATGTGTGTATGTAGTGTATGTAATGTGTGGTAGAGTGTATGTAATGTGTGTATGTAATATGTGTAGTGTGTGTGTAATGTGTGTATGTAGTGTGTGTAATGTGTGTATGTAGTGTATGTAACGTGTGTATGTAATATGTGTAGTGTATGTAATGTGTGTATGTAATGTGTGTATGTAATATGTGTAGTGTATGTAATGTGTGTATGTAGTGTATGTAGTGTGTGTATGTAATGTGTAGTGTGTGTGTAATGTGTGTATGTAGTGTATGTAATGTGTGTATGTAATGTGTAGTGTGTGTGCGTGTAATGTGTGTATGTAGTGTATGTAATGTGTGTATGAGTGTATGTAATATGTGTAGTGTGTGTGTGTGTGTAATGTGTGTATGTAGTGTATGTAATGTGTGTATGTAATATGTGTAGTGTGTGTGTGTAATATGTGTATGTAGTGTATGTAATGTGTGGATGTAGTGTATGTAATGTGTGTATGTAATGTGTAGTGTGTGTGTGTGTAATGTGTGTATGTAGTGTATGTAATGTGTGTATGAGTGTATGTAATGTGTGTATGTAATATGTGTAGTGTGTGTGTGTGTAATGTGTGTATGTAGTGTATGTAATGTGTGTATGTAATGTGTGGTGTGTGTGTGTGTAATGTGTGTATGTAATGTATGTAATGAGTGTATGTAATATGTGTAGTGTGTGTGTAATGTGTGTATGTAGTGTATGTAATGTGTGTATGTAATGTGTGTATGTAATATGTGTAGTGTGTGTGTAATGTGTGTATGTAGTGTATGTAATGTGTGGTAGAGTGTATGTAATGTGTGTATGTAATATGTGTAGTGTGTGTGTAATGTGTGTATGTAGTGTGTGTAATGTGTGTATGTAGTGTATGTAACGTGTGTATGTAATATGTGTAGTGTATGTAATGTGTGTATGTAGTGTATGTAATGTGTGTATGAAATATGTGTAGTGTATGTAATGTGTGTATGTAGTGTATGTAGTGTGTGTATGTAATGTGTAGTGTGTGTGTAATGTGTGTATGTAGTGTATGTAATGTGTGTATGTAATGTGTAGTGTGTGTGCGTGTAATGTGTGTATGTAGTGTATGTAATGTGTGTATGAGTGTATGTAATATGTGTAGTGTGTGTGTGTGTAATGTGTGTATGTAGTGTATGTAATGTGTGTATGTAATATGTGTAGTGTGTGTGATGTGTGTATGCAGTGTATGTAATATGTGTATGTAGTGTATGTAATGAGTGTATGTAGTGTATGTAATGTGTGTATGTAATATGTGTAGTGTATGTAATGTGTGTATGTAGTGTATGTAGTGTGTGTATGTAATGTGTAGTGTGTGTGTGTAATGTGTGTATGTAGTGTATGTAATGTGTGTATGTAATATGTGTAGTGTGTGTGTGTAATGTGTGTATGTAGTGTATGTAATGTGTGTATGTAATATGTGTAGTGTGTGTGTGTAATGTGTGTATGAGTGTATGTAATGTGTATGTAATATGTGTAGTGTGTGTGTGTAATGTGTATATGTAATATGTGTAGTGTGTGTGTGTAATGTGTGTATGTAGTGTATGTAATGTGTGTATGTAGTGTATGTAATGTGTGTGTGTAATGTGTGTATGTAGTGCATGTAATGTGTGTATGTAATATGTGTAGTGTGTGTGTATGAGTGTATGTAATGTGTGTATGTAATATGTGTAATGTGTGTGTGTAGTGTGTGTATGTAGTTTATGTAATGTGTGTATGAGTGTATGTAATGTGTGTATGTAATATGTGTATGTAGTGTATGTAATATGTGTATGTAGTGTATGTAATGTGTGTATGTAATATGTGTAGTGTATGTAATGTGTGTATGTAGTGTATGTAGTGTGTGTATGTAATGTGTAGTGTGTGTGTGTAATGTGTGTATGTAGTGTATGTTATGTGTGTATGGAATATATGTAGTGTGTGTGTAATGTGCGTATGTAGCGTATGTAATGTGTGTATGTAATATGTGTAATGTGTGTATGTAATGTGTGTATGTAGTGTATGTAATGTGTGTATGTAATATGTGTGGTGTGTGTGTGTATGTAGTGTATGTAATGTGTGTATGTAATATGTGTGGTGTGTGTGTGTAATGTGTGTATGTAGTGTATGTAATGTGTGTATGTAATATGTGTAGTGTGTGTGTGTAATGTGTGTATGTAGTGTATGTAATGTGTGTATGTAATATGTGTAGTGTGTGTGTAATGTGTGTATGAGTGTATGTAATGTGTGTATGTAATATGTGTAGTGTGTGTGTGTAATGTGTATATGTAATATGTGTAGTGTGTGTGTGTAATGTGTGTATGTAGTGTATGTAATGTGTGTATGTAGTGTATGTAATGTGTGTATGTAATGTGTAATGTGTGTGTGTAATGTGTGTATGTAGTGTATGTAATGTGTGTATGTAATATGTGTAGTGTGCGTGTATGAGTGTATGTAATGTGTGTATGTAATATGTGTAATGTGTGTGTGTAGTGTGTGTATGTAGTTTATGTAATGTGTCTATGAGTGTATGTAATGTGTGTATGTAATATGTGTATGTAGTGTATGTAATATGTGTATGTAGTGTATGTAATGTGTGTATGTAATGTATGTAATGTGTGTATGTAATATGTGTAGTGCGTGTATGTAATGTGTGTATGTAGTGTATGTAATGTGTGTATGTAATATGTGTAGTGTGTGTGTAATGTGTGTATGTAGTGTATGTAGTGTATGTATGTAATGTGTGGTGTGTGTGTGTAATGTGTGTATGTAGTGTATGTAATGTGTGTATGTAATGTGTGGTGTGTGTGTGTAATGTGTGTATGTAATGTATGTAATGTGTGTATGTAATATGTGTGGTGTGTGTAATGTGTGTATGTAGTGTATGTAATGTGTGTATGTAATATGTGTGGTGTGTGTGTGTAATGTGTGTATGTAATGTATGTAATGTGTGTGTGTAATGTGTGTATGTAGTGTATGTAATGTGTGTATGTAATATGTGTAGTGTGTGTAATGTGTGTATGTAGTGTATGTAATGTGTGCATGTAATGTGTGTAGTGTGTGTGTGTAATGTTTGTATGAGTGTATGTAATGTGTGTATGTAGTGTATGCAATGTGTGTATGTAATATGTGTAGTGTGTGTGTGTAATGTGTGTATGTAATGTGTAGTGTATGTAATGTGTGTATGTAGTGTATGTAATGTGTGTGTAATGTGTGTATGTAGCGTATGTAATGTATGTATGAGTGCATGTAATGTGTGTATGTAATATGTGTAGTGTGTGTGTGTAATGTGTGTATGTAGTGTGTGTAATGTGTGTATGTAGTGTATGTAATGTGTATGTAATATGTGTAGTGTGTGTATGTAATGTGTGTATGTAATATGTGTAGTGTATGTAATGTGTGTATGCAGTGTATGTAATGTGTGTATGTAATGTGTGTAGTGTGTGTGTGTAATGTGTGTATGAGTGTATGTAATGTGTGTATGTAATATGTGTAGTGTGTGTGTGTAATGTGTGTATGTAGTGTATGTAATGTGTGTATGTAATATGTGTAGTGTATGTAATGTGTGTATGAGTGTATGTAATGTGTGTATGTAATATGTGTAGTGTATGTAATGTGAGTATGTAGTGTATGTAATGTGTGTATGAGTATATGTAATGTGTGTATGTAATATGTGTAGTGTATTTAATGTGTGTATGTAGTGTATGTAATGTGTGTATGAGTGTATGTAATGTGTGTATGTAATATGTGTAGTGTGTGTAATGTGAGTATGTAGTGTATGTAATGTGTGTATGTAATATGTGTAGTGTATGTAATGTGTGTATGCAGTGTATGTAATGTTGTATGTAATATGTGTAGTGTGTGTGTGTAATGTGTGTATGTAGTGTATGTAATGTGTGTATGTAATATGTGTAGTGTGTGTGATGTGTGTATGTAGTGTATGTAATTTGTGTATGTAATATGTGTAGTGTGTGTGTAATGTGTGTATGTAGTGTATGTAATGTGTGTATGTAGTGTATGTAATGTGTGTATGTAATATGTGTAGTGTGTGTATGTAATGTGTATGAGTGTATGTAATGTGTGTATGTAATATGTGTAGTGTGTGTGTATTGTTTGTATGTAGTGTATGTAATATGTGTAGTGTGTGTGTGTGTAATGTGTGTATGTAGTGTATGTAATGTGTGTATGCAATATGTGTAGTGTGTGTGATGTGTGTATGAGTGTATGTAATGTGTGTATGTAATATGTGTAGTGTGTGTAATGTGTGTATGAGTGTATGTAATGTGTGCATGTAATATGTGTAGTGTGTGTAATGTGTGTATGTAGTGTATGTAATGTGTGTATGTAATATGTGTAATGTGTGTAATGTGTGTATGAGTGTATGTAATGTGTGTATGTAATATGTGTAATGTGTGTGTGTGTGTGTAATGTGTGTATGTAATCGTGCACGTAATGTGTGCAATACGTGACCCCGTGAGGTCACACACTCCACGTGACCACGTGACACCACACACTCCACGTGACCCCTTAGGGCCACACACTCCACGTGACCCCGTGATGCCACACACTCCACGTGACCACGTGACACCACACACTCCACGTGACACCACACACTGCACGTGACCCCGTGACACCACACACTCCACGTGACACCACACACTGCACGTGACCACGTGACACCACACACTGCACGTGACCACGTGACACCACACACTCCACGTGACACCACACACTGCACGTGACACCACACACTGCACGTGACCACGTGACACCACACACTCCACGTGACCACGTGACACCACACACTCCACGTGACACCACACACTCCACGTGACCCCGTGACGCCACACACTCCACGTGACACCACACACTGCACGTGACCACGTGACACCACACACTGCACGTGACCACGTGACACCACACACTCCACGTGACACCACACACTGCACGTGACACCACACACTGCACGTGACCACGTGACACCACACACTCCACGTGACACCACACACTGCACGTGACACCACACACTGCACGTGACCACGTGACACCACACACTCCACGTGACACCACACACTCCACGTGACACCACACACTCCACGTGACACCACACACTCCACGTGACACCACACACTGCACGTCACCACGTGACACCACACACTCCACGTGACACCACACACTCCACGTGACACCACACACTCCACGTGACACCACACACTCCACGTGACACCACACACTCCACGTGACACCACACACTCCACGTGACACCACACACTGCACGTGACCACGTGACACCACACACTCCACGTGACACCACACACTCCACGTGACCACGTGGGGCCACACACTCCACGTGACCCCATAGGGCCACACACTCCACGTGACCCCATAGGGCCACACACTCCACGTGACCCCGTGAGGCCACACACTCCACGTGACCCCTTAGGGCCACACAATCCACGTGACCACGTGACACCACACACTCCACGTGACCCCGTGGGGTCACACACTCCACGTGACCCCATAGGGTCACACACTCCACGTGACCACGTGACACCACACACTCCACGTGACCCCGTGGGGTCACACGCTCCACGTGACCACGTGACACCACACACTCCAGGTGACCCCGTGGGGTCACACGCTCCACGTGACCCCGTGACACCACACGCTCCACGTGACCACGTGACACCACACACTCCAGGTGACCCCGTAGGGCCACACACTCCACGTGACCCTGTGGGGTCACACACTCCACGTGACCCCATAGGGTCACACACTCCACGTGACCACGTGACACCACACACTCCATGTGACCAAGTGACACCACACACTCCACGTGACCCCTTAGGGCCACACACTCCATGTGACCACGTGACACCACACACTCCAGGTGACCACGTGACACCACACACTCCACGTGACCCCGTGGGGTCACACACTCCACGTGACCCCTTAGGGCCACACACTCCCCCTCCCCCCCCGTCTACCCCCCCCCCCCCCCCCCCCACACGTAGCGGTGTCCGCTCCTCACCTGAACCGGCTGACCAGGAAGAGGACCACGCTGACTCCGATGTAGGCGAACACGATGCACATCCATATCTCGTAGGCGAGCGGGTCGAGGAATGAGAAGACGCCCGGCTTGGACTTCTGCGGCTTCTTGATCATGATGGAGATGCCGAGGCTCATGAACGGCTTCGAGAAGTCGATGACCTCCTCGCGCACCAACGTGATTGTCAGCGGGGCCACAGCAATATCCGCCCTCTTGGTGGTCAGGCGGCGGGAGTAGTGGGGGGGGGGAGAGAATCGCGATGGGTATTTTTGGTAACGGCTGGAGAGAGTGGGAGTGTGTGAGAGCGGGAGAGTGGGAGAGTGAGCGAGAGTGAGCGAGAGAGTGAGTGAGAGAGTGAGTGAAAGTATGGGAGAGTGAGTGAGTGGGTGAGAGAGTGAGTGAGTGAGAGAGTGAGTGAGTGGGTAAGTGAATGAATGAATGAATGAGTGAGTGGTTAAGCGAGCGAGCGGGTGAGCGGGCGGGCGAGTGGGCGGGCGGGCGGGCGGGCGAGTGAGTGAGTGAGTTAGTGAGTCAGTGGGTAAGTGAGTGAATGAGTGAGTGGTTAAGCGAGCGGGCGAGCGAGTGGGTGAGTGGGTAAGTGAATGAATGAATGAGTGAGTTAGTGAGTGAGTGGGTAAGTGATTGAGTGAGTGAGTGAGTTAGTGAGTGAGTGGGTATGTGAAGGAATGAGTGAGTGAGTGAGTTAGTGAGTGAGTGGGTAAGTGAATGAATGAGTGAGTTAGTGAGTGAGTGGGTAAGTGAGTGAGTGAATGAATGAGTGAATGAATGAGTGAGTGGTTAAGCGGGCGAGCGAGCGGGCGGGCGTGCCACTCACCCCGTAGACCAGCTCGCCCACCATGCCGTTCCAGATGTTGCTGTCCTGGTCACGCGCTCCGTACTTGCCGTCGGGCACGATGGCCAGGTGGTACTTGATGTTGAGGTGCCGAGCGATCTCCATGGCCAGGTCCACGCAGTAGCCCTCATACCTCTCGTTGCCCCGGTAGGTGTCGTGGTTCTTGCGGTACATCACGTAGGGTGCCTCCTGGCACACGTGGGGCAAGTGGAGGTAGGGGGGGGGGGGATTGGGGGGGGGGGTAGAGAGGGGGGAGAGAGGGGGGGGGGAGATGGGGGGGAGGGTGTGGGGGGAGAGGGGAGGAGAGAGGGTGAGTTCATATGGTGGTTGTGATGGTGGTGATGGTAGTGGTGAGTGAGGGGTGAGTGAGTGGTGAGTGAGTGGTGAGTGGCGAGTGGTGAGTGAGTGAGTGGTGAGTGGCGAGTGGTGAGTGAGTGCTGAGTGAGTGCTGAGTGAGTGGCGAGTGGTGAGTGAGTGGCGAGTGGTGAGTGAGTGGTGAGTGAGTGGTGAGTGGGTGAGTGAATGGCGAGTGAGTGGTGAGTGAGTGGTGAGTGAGTGAGTGGCGAGTGAGTGTGTGGGTGAGTGAGTGGCGAGTGAGTGGGTGGGTGAGTGTGTGGGTGAGTGAGTGAGTGGCGAGTGAGTGAGTGGCGAGTGAGTGAGTGGCGAGTGAGTGAGTGAGTGGCGAGTGAGTGGGTGAGTGGCGAGTGAGTGAGTGGTGATTGAGTGGTGAGTGAGTGAGTGGCGAGTGAGTGAGTGAGTGGTGAGTGAGTGAGTGGCGAGTGAGTGGTGAGTGAGTGGTGAGTGAGTGAGTGGTGAGTGAGTGAGTGGCGAGTGAGTGAGTGGCGAGTGAGTGGTGAGTGAGTGAGTGGCGAGTGAGTGGTGAGTGAGTGGTGAGTGAGTGAGTGGTGAGTGAGTGAGTGGCGAGTGAGTGGTGAGTGAGTGGTGAGTGAGTGAGTGGCGAGTGAGTGAGTGAGTGGCGAGTGAGTGGGTAAGCGGGCGGGTGGGTGAGCGAGTGGTGAGGGTACCATGATGGAGGTGATGATGATGGTGCGGTTCTCGAGCAGGGAGGAGTTGTCCCCAGCGGCGCCAGCCTCTCTGATGAACTGGAACTGGGACTGTTCACTCCAGACTGCCACCTGAGCTCACACACACAGGTGAGTAGCACTACACACACACACGTACACACACGTACACACACGTACACACACAGCTACACACAACAACAACAACAACAACCGCCACTAAGTGGCGGTGACGTCACCACAACGCTTGTGCCAGGCCACACACACACACCCACACACACAGCTACACACACAGCTACACACACACAGCTCTACACACACACCTACACACACACCTACACACAGCTCTACACACACACACACACCTACAACAACAACAACCGCCATTCACCACTAAGTGGCGGTGACGTCACCACGGCGCTTGTGCCAGGCCATGGGCACCCTGAGGCCACGTGAAGTGTCGAACGCCCGCTGGCAGGAGGTCACGGGGCAGACCCAGCAGGTGCCACGGGTCGACTGACTGAGATGACTACTGGCTGATGCACCACCTGTGCCCCCCTACTGTGCCAACCTGCTGCGCTTTAGCCACCCGGCGCTCCGCTCGTTGTTGTGAGCGTCGCTGCTCCGCCCTCCGTTGTTGTTGGAGGGCGACTGCCTCCAACTGCCCAGTAGCGTCCTTCACGAGCCTCCTCCACAGAGGCCGATCTTGACACCGCTGGTACCGGTCATCGGCAAGTCCACTCAGCTCCACGTCCTCCTGTACCACATCACTCCATCTCTTCTCTAGCCCGTGCCGCGCCCACTTAGCCCCCTCAATCCGGCCGAACAAAAGCTGTTTCGGCATGCGGTGGCTGGACATGTGGGCTACATGACCCAGCCATCGCAGCCTTGCCTGCCGGAGGAGCTCACTGATAGGACCTTGCCCAGATCTTTCAAGAATTTGTGAGCTCCTCACGCAATCCAGCCTGATTAAACCCAGGATGGATCATAGGCAGGCTAGCCTAAATGTTTCTAACCGGCGAAGATGTTCCATTAGGGGGGTCCACGTTTCGCAAGCGTAGAGAAGGGAGGGAATGACCGTGGCCGAGAAGACCTGAAGCTTAGTGCGGAGCGACAGACCAGGTAGCTTCCACACAGCGTTACGCAACCAATGAAAATATATTGCCGCTCGACTGATTCAGAGTGAGACCTCTGCTGTTAAACTGGAGCCGGTCATGAGCACACTGCCCAGGTATGGGAAACTCTCTACTCTCTCCACAACTGCCCCATCACCGATTGGGAGTTGTGGGGGTGGAGTGTCCGATGGTACAAAATACCCAGGCAGGTGCTTAGTTTTGGTGGGGCTGATGGTAAGGCCCCATCTCTTAGTGGCACGCTCCAGTCTCAGTAGCAGCGTCTCCAACTCCTCCTCTGAATGAGCAGCTTTTACCAAATCATCGGCATACATAACGTGGTTGAGCAATAGGGAGCCATCCCTTGACCGCACCCGGGCATCGATCAGCCTCCCATTATATCTGTACCAAATGGAGATTCCCCCGGTACAGCTATTGAAGGCTTCACAAACTACGTGGTCAAAATAGATGTTAAATAATGTGGAAGCCAGAGGACATCCCTGTCGCACCCCAAGATGTACAGGGAATGGCTCTGACTCCCGGCCACGTAGTTTTACCCGGGCCCGCTCACCATCATGAAGATCCTTAATGATCGTGAGCAGAGGTTCAGGTACTCCAAAAGCACGAAGAAGAACCCAGAGCCCAGGCGTACTGATGGTATCATAGGCCTTGACCAGGTCAATAAAGCAGAGATGTAGGTATTGCTGGAATTCCCTACACCTCTGCTGTAGCACTCACACCCACACTCACCCACCCACCCACTCACCCACCCACCCACCCACTCACCCACACACTCACACACTCACCCACCCACTCACCCACCCACCCACCCACTCACCCACACTCACACACTCACCCACCCACTCACCCACCCACCCACACACTGACCCACCCACTCACCCACTCACCCACTCACCAACCCACTCACCCACCCACTCACCCACTCACCCACTCACCCACCCACCCACACACTCACCCACACTCACCCACACACTCACCCACACTCATCCACCCACACACTCACCCACACACTCACCCACCCACTCACCCACCCACTCACCCACCCACTCACCCAACCACTCACCCACTCACTCACCCACTCACCCACTCACCCACTCACCCACCCACTCACCCACCCACCCACACACTCACCCACACTCACCCACACACTCACACACACTCACCCACACACTCACCCACCCACTTACCCACTCACCCACCCACTCACCCACCCACTCACCCACTCACCCACTCACCCATTCACCCACCAACCCACCCACTCACTCACCCAACCACTCACCCACCGAGCTACACACTCACCCACCCACCCACTCACCCACTCACCCACCCACCCACACACTCACCCACACACTCACACACACTCACCCACCCACACACTCACCCACCCGCTCACCCATCCACCCACACACTCACCCACCCACTCACCCACCCACTCACCCACCCACTCTACCCACTCACTCACCCACCCACACACTCACCCACACTCACCCACACACTCACCCACACTCACCCACCCACACACTCACCCACACACTCACCCACCCACTCACCCACCCACCCACCCACTCACCCACTCACCCACTCACTCACCCACTCACCCACTCACCCACCCACTCACCCACCCACCCACACACTCACCCACACTCACCCACACACTCACCCACACTCACCCACCCACACACTCACCCACACACTCACCCACACACTCACCCACCCACTTACCCACTCACCCACCCACTTACCCACCCACTCACCCACCCACTCACCCACCCACTCACCCACTCACCCATTCATCCACCAACCCACCCACTCACCCACCCACTCACCCACCTAACCACTCACCCACCGAGCTACACACTCACCCACCCACTCACCCACCCGCTCACCCACCCACTCACCCACACACCCACCCACACACTCACCCACTCAACCACCCACCCACACACTCACCCACCCACACACTCACCCACCCACACACTCACCCACCCACACACTCACCCACCCACACACCCACCCACCCACACACTCACCCACACTCACCCACCCACACCCTCACCCACCCACCCACTCACCCACTCACCCACCCACTCACACACCCACCCACCCACTCACCCACCCACACACCCACCCACCCACACACTCACCCACACTCACCCACCCACACTCTCACCCATCCACCCACCAACCCACCCACCCACTCACCCACCAACCCACCAACTCACCCACCCACCCACCCACTCACCTTTTTCGGACCAATGGGTCTGAGCTCCATCAGCGCGATGGAGTAGTTGATCCTCCTCCCTCCGTCGTCAAACTGAATGTTCCCAGTCAGACCCTGGATCTGAACCTGAACCCACACGCAACATAGACACAAAGACAAAGCTCCCCCGTGTAGCTTTAACTCTGGATCGGGGCAAGTGCTGTGAGGAGCAACAGAGTCTTTGAAGGCCGGCAATGTGCACACAACATCGATGTGGCGAGGCACTCTTAGATGCTGCCACCACTTCCAACAACAACCACCACTACCAACAACAACCACCACTAACACAGCCACCACCACTACCAACAACAACAACCACCACTACCAACAACAACCACCACTACCAACAACAACAACCACCACTACCAACAACAACCACCACTACCAACAACAACCACCACTACCAAAAACAACCACCACTACCAACAACAACCACCACTACCAACAACAACAACCACCACTACCAACAACAACCACAACTACCAACAACAACCACCACTACCAACAACAACCACCACTACCAACAACAACCACCACTACCAACAACAACCACCACTTCCAACAACAACCACCACTACCAACAACAACCACCACTACCAACAACAACCACCACTACCAACAACAACCACCACTACCAACAACAACCACCACTTCAAACAACAACCACCACTACCAACAACAACCACCACTACCAACAACAACCACCACTACCAACAACAACCACCACTAACACAGCCACCACCACTACCAACAACAACGACCACCACCAACAACAACCACCACTACCAACAACAACCACCACTACCAACAACAACCACCACTACCAACAACAACCACAACTACCAACAACAACCACCACTACCAACAACAACCACCACTACCAACAACAACCACCACTTCCAACAACAACCACCACTACCAACAACAACCACCACTACCAACAACAACCACCACTAACACAGCCACCACCACTACCAACAACAACCACCACTACCAACAACAACCACCACTACCAACAACAACCACCACTACCAACAACAACCACCACTACCAACAACAACAACCACCACTACCAACAACAACCACCACTACCAACAACAACCACCACTAACACAGCCACCACTACCAACAACAACCACCACTTCCAACAACAACCACCACTACCAACAACAACCACCACTACCAACAACAACCACCACTACCAACAACAACCACCACTACCAACAACAACCACCACTACCAATAACAACCACCACTACCAACAACAACCACCACTACCAACAACAACCACCACTAACAACAACAACCACCACTACCAAAAACAACCACCACCAACAACAACCACCACTACCACAGCCACCACCACTACCAACAACAACCACCACTACCAACAACAACCAACACGAACACAGCCACCACCACCACTACCAAAAACAACCACCACTACCAACAACAACCACCACTACCAACAACAACCACCACTACCAACAACAACCACCACTACCAAAAACAACCACCACCAACAACAACCACCACGAACACAGCCACCACCACTACCAACAACAACCACCACTACCAACAACAACAACCACCACTACCAACAACAACAACCACCACTACCAACAACAACCACCACTACCAACAACAGCCACCACTACCAATAACAACGACCACTACCACAACAACCACCACTAACACAGCCACCACCACTACCAACAACAACCACCACTACCAACAACAACCACCACTACCAACAACAACCACCACTACCAACAACAACAACCACCACTACCAACAACAACCACCACGAACACAGCCACCACCACCATCACCACCACCACCGCCACCACCACCACCACCAGCATCACCACCACCGCCACTACCACCACCATCACCACCACCACCAGCTCACCTGCTTGAGTGCCCGGTTGATGTCCACGCCCTGAGACCAGGGCACGGCCGGGTTGGCCAGGCACTCCGCCGTGCTTCACCACCACCACAACCACAACAACCACCACCACCACCACCCACCACAACCACCACCACCAGCATCACCACCACAACCACAACCACCACCACCACCACCAGCTCACCTGCTTGAGTGCCCGGTTGATGTCCACGCCCTGAGACCAGGGCACGGCCGGGTTGGCCAGGCACTCCGCCGTGCTTCACCACCACCACAACCACCACCACAACCACCACCACCCACCACAACCACCACCACCAGCATCACCACCACAACCACCACCACCACCACCAGCTCACCTGCTTGAGTGCCCGGTTGATGTCCACGCCCTGAGACCAGGGCACGGCCGGGTTGGCCAGGCACTCCGCCGTGCTGCCCTTGCGGGAGGGGTCGATGCGCTGGCGGTATAGGAGGCGAAATGCCTCAGCCATCACCAGCACCGCGTCGTAGGTCAGGGCAGACGTGAACTGGGGGAGAGAGGGGGTACATGTGGTGGTGGTTGTGGTGGTTGTTGTGGTGGTTGTTGTGGTGATGGTGGTTGTGGTGGTTGTTGCCATCACCAGCACCGCGTCATAGGTCAGGGCAGACGTGAACTGGGGGGGAGAGGGGGTACATGTGGTGGTGGTTGTGGTGGTTGTTGTGGTGGTTGTGGTGGTTGTTGTGGTGATGGTGGTGGTTGTGGTGGTTGTGGTGGTTGTTGCCATCACCAGCACCGCGTCATAGGTCAGGGCAGACGTGAACTGGGGGGGAGAGGGGGTACATGTGGTGGTGGTTGTGGTGGTTGTGGTGGTTGTTGTGGTGGTTGTGGTGGTGGTTGTTGTGGTGGTGGTTGTGGTTGTGGTGGTTGTTGCCATCACCAGCACCGCGTCATAGGTCAGAGCAGACGTGAACTGGGGGGGGAGAGGGGGGTACATGTGGTGGTGGTTGTTGTGGTGGTGGTTGTGGTGATGGTGGTGGTTGTGGTGGTTGTTGTGGTTGTTGTGGTTGTTGTGGTTGTTGTGGTGGTTGTTGTAGTTGTGGTGGTTGTGGTGGTGGTTGTGGTGGTTGTTTTGGTGGTGGTTGTGGTTGTTGTGGTTGTTGTTGTTGTAGTTGTTTTAGTTGTTGTGACCCACCTTCAATGAAGGCCCGTCAGCCCCGGGGTACTCGCGAGGGTCCAGCTTGCTCTGGTGGTGGTAGTGGTGGTTGTAGTTGTTGTTGTAATTGTTGTAGTTGTTGTGGTTGTTGTTGTAGTTGTTGTAGTTGTTGTAGTTGTAGTGGTTGTAGTTGTGGTTGTAGTTGTTGTAGTTGTTGTGACCCACCTTCAGTGAAGGCCCGTCAGCCCCGGGGTACTCGCGAGGGTCCAGCGTGCCCTGGTGGTGGTAGTGGTGGTAGTGGTTGTTGTTGTTGTAGTTGTTGTTGTTGTAGTTGTAGTAGTTATAGTTGTTGTAGTTGTTGTTGTTGTTGTGACTCACCTTCAATGAAGGCCCGTCAGCCCCGGGGTACTCGCGAGGGTCCAGCTTGCCCTGGTGGTGGTGGTAGTGGTTGTAGTTGTTGTTGTGGTTGTTGTAGTTGTAGTGGTTGTAGTTGTTGTTGTAGTTGTTGTGACTCACCTTCAATGAAGGCCCGTCAGCCCCGGGGTACTCGCGAGGGTCTAGCTTGCCCTGGTGGTGGTGGTAGTTGTAGTTGTTGTAGTTGTAGTTGTTGTTGTGGTTGTAGTTGTTGTGACTCACCTTCAATGAAGGCCCGTCAACCCCAGGGTACTCGCGAGGGTCCAACTTGCCCTGGTGGTAGTAGTGGTTGTTGTAGTTGTAGTTGTTGTAATTGTTGTTGTAGTTGTTGTAGTTGTTGTGACTCACCTTCAATGAAGGCCCGTCAGCCCCGGGGTACTCGCGAGGGTCCAGCTTGCCCTGGTGGTGGTGGTAGTTGTAGTTGTTGTAGTTGTTGTTGTGGTTGTTGTTGTAGTTGTAGTTGTTGTTGTGTTTGTTGTAGTTGTAGTTGTGGTTGTTGTTGTTGTGGTTATAGTTGTTGTAGTTGTCGTTGTTGTTGTTGTAGTTGTAGTAGTTATAGTTGTTGTAGTTGTTGTTGTAGTGATTGTAGTTGTTGTTGTAGTTGTTGTTGTAGTTGTAGTAGTGGTTGTAGTTGTTGTGACTCACCTTCAATGAAGGCCCGTCAGCCCCGGGGTACTCGCGAGGGTCCAGCTTGCCCTGGTGGTAGTAGTGGTGGTAGTGGTTGTTGTTGTTGTAGTTGTTGTTGTAATTGTTGTTGTTGTTCTAGTTGTTGTGGTTGTTGTTGTTGTTGTGACTCACCTTCAATGAAGGCCCGTCAGCCCCAGGGTACTCGCGAGGGTCCATCTTGCCCTGGTAGTGGTTGTAGTTGTTGTTGTAGTTGTTGTAGTTGTAGTAGTTATAGTTGTTGTTGTTGTTGTGACCCACCTTCAATGAAGGCCCGTCAGCCCCGGGGTACTCGCGAGGGTCCAGCTTGCCCTGGTGGTGGTGGTAGTGGTTGTAGTTGTTGTTGTTGTAGTTGTTGTAGTTGTTGTTGTAATTGTTGTTGTTGTGGTTGTTGTGACTCACCTTGAGTGAAGGCCCGTCAGCCCCGGGGTACTCGCGAGGGTCCAGCTTGCCCTGGTGGTGGTAGTGGTGGTTGTTGTTGTAGTTGTTGTTGTAATTGTTGTGGTTGTGGTTATAGTTGTAGTAGTTGTTGTAGTTGTTGTTGTTGTTCTAGTTGTTGTGGTTGTTGTTGTTGTTGTGACTCACCTTCAATGAAGGCCCGTCAGCCCCGGGGTATTCGCGAGGGTCCAGCTTGCCCTGGTGGTGGTAGTGGTGGTAGTTGTTGTTGTAGTTGTTGTTGTTGTTGTAGTAGTTATAGTTGTTGTAGTTGTTGTAGTTGTTGTGACTCACCTTCAATGAAGGCCCGTCAGCCCCGGGGTACTCGCGAGGGTCCAGCTTGCCCTGGTGGTAGTAGTGGTTGTTGTAGTTGTTGTTGTAGTTGTTGTTGTTGTAGTAGTTATAGTTGTTGTAGTTGTTGTTGTTGTTGTGGTTGTTGTGACCCACCTTGAGTGAAGGCCCGTCAGCCCCGGGGTATTCGCGAGGGTCCAGCTTGCCCTGGTGGTGGTGGTAGTGGTTGTAGTTGTTGTTGTAGTTGTTGTTGTAGTTATAGTTGTTGTAGTTGTTGTTGTTGTTGTGACCCACCTTTAATGAAGGCCCGTCAGCCCCGGGGTACTCACGAGGGTCCAGCTTGCCCTGGTGGTGGTAGTGGTTGTAGTGGTTCTTGTTGTAGTAGTTGTTGTTGTTGTTGTAGTTGTTGTGACCCACCTTGAGTGAAGGCGCGTCAGCCCCGGGGTACTCGCGAGGGTCCAGCTTGCCCTGGTGGTGGTAGTGGTTGTTGTAGTTGTAGTTGTTGTTGTAATTGTTATTGTTGTTGTGGTTGTTGTGACCCACCTTGAGTGAAGGCCCGTCAGCCCCGGGGTACTCGCGAGGGTCCAGCTTGCCCTGGTGGTAGTAGTGGTGGTAGTTGTTGTTGTAGTTGTTGTTGTTGTAATTGTTGTTGTAGTTGTTGTTGTTGTTGTGACTCACCTTTAATGAAGGCCCATCAGCCCCGGGGTACTCGCGAGGGTCCAGCTTGCCCTGGTGGTGGTAGTGGTTGTTGTTGTTGTTGTAATTGTTGTTGTAGTTGTTGTTGTAGTTGTTGTGACCCACCTTCAATGAAGGCCCGTCAGCCCCGGGGTACTCGCGAGGGTCCAGCTTGCTCTGGTGGTGGTTGTTGTAGTTGTTGTTGTGGTTGTTGTGACTCACCTTGAGTGAAGGGCCGTCAGCCCCGGGGTACTCGCGAGGGTCCAGCTTGCCCTGGTGGTAGTGGAAGTGGTTGTAGTTGTTGTTGTTCTAGTTGTTGTGGTGGTTGTTGTAGTTGTTGTAGTTGTTGTTGTAGTTGTTGTGACCCACCTTGAGTGAAGGCCCATCAGCCCCGGGGTACTCGCGAGGGTCCAGCTTGCCCTGGTGGTGGTGGTAGTGGTTGTTGTAGTTGTAGTTGTTGTTGTAATTGTTGTTCTAGTTGTTGTGATGGTTGTTGTAGTTGTTGTAGTGGTTGTAGTTGTTGTGACCCACCTTGAGTGAAGGCCCGTCAGCCCCGGGGTACTCGCGAGGGTCCAGCTTGCCCTGGTGGTGGTTGTTGTTGTTGTTGTAGTTGTTGTAGTTGTTGTTGTAATTGTTGTTGTTGTTGTGACTCACCTTGAGTGAAGGCCCGTCAGCCCCGGGGTACTCGCGAGGGTCCAGCTTGCCCTGGTGGTGGTTGTTGTAGTTGTGGTTGTTGTTGTGACCCACCTTGAGTGAAGGGCCGTCTGACCCGGGGTACTCGCGAGGGTCCAGCTTGCCCTGGTGGTGGTGGTAGTGGTTGTAGTTGTTGTTGTAGTTGTTGTAGTTGTTGTTGTAATTGTTATTGTTGTTGTTGTGGTTGTTGTGACTCACCTTGAGTGAAGGGCCGTCAGCCCCGGGGTACTCGCGAGGGTCCAGCTTGCCCTGGTGGTGGTGGTAGTGGTTGTAGTTGTTGTTGTGTTTGTTGTTGTTGTAGTTGTTGTTGTAGTTGTTGTTGTAGTTGTTGTAGTTGTGGTTGTTGTTGTTGTTGTGACCCACCTTGAGTGAAGGCCCGTCAGCCCCGGGGTACTCGCGAGGGTCCAGCTTGCCCTGGTGGTGGTAGTGGTGGTAGTGGTTGTTGTTGTTGTAGTTGTTGTTGTAGTTATAGTTGTAGTAGTTGTTGTAGTTGTTGTGACCCACCTTGAGTGAAGGCCCGTCAGCCCCGGGGTACTCGCGAGGGTCCAGCTTGCCCTGGTGGTGGTGGTAGTGGTGGTAGTGGTTGTTGTTGTGATGGTTGTTGTAGTTGTTGTAGTAGTGGTTGTAGTTGTTGTGACCCACCTTCAATGATGGCCCGTCAGCCCCGGGGTACTCGCGAGGGTCCAGCTTGCCCTGGTGGTGGTAGTGGTGGTAGTGGTTGTTGTTGTTGTAGTTGTTGTTGTAGTTATAGTTGTAGTAGTTGTTGTAGTTGTTGTGACCCACCTTGAGTGAAGGCCCGTCAGCCCCGGGGTACTCGCGAGGGTCCAGCTTGCCCTGGTGGTGGTAGTTGTAGTTGTTGTTGTTGTGATGGTTATAGTAGTTGTTGTAGTGGTTGTAGTTGTTGTGACCCACCTTGAGTGAAGGCCCGTCAGCCCCGGGGTACTCGCGAGGGTCCAGCTTGCCCTGGTGGTGGTAGTTGTAGTTGTTGTGATGGTTATAGTAGTTGTTGTAGTTGTTGTTGTTGTTGTTGTGACCCACCTTGAGTGAAGGCCCGTCAGCCCCGGGGTACTCGCGAGGGTCCAGCTTGCCCTGGTGGTGGTAGTGGTTGTTGTAGTTGTAGTAGTGGTTGTTGTGGTTGTTGTGACCCACCTTGAGTGAAGGCCCGTCAGCCCCAGGGTACTCCCGAGGGTCCAGCTTGCCCTGGTGGTGGTTGTTGTAGTTGTTGTTGTTGTTGTTGTGACCCACCTTGAGTGAAGGCCCGTCAGCCCCGGGGTACTCGCGAGGGTCCAGCTTGCCCTGGTAGTGGTGGTAGTGGTTGTAGTTGTTGTTGTAGTTGTTGTTGTAATTGTTGTTGTTCTAGTTGTTGTTGTGGTTGTAGTTGTTGTTGTGACCCACCTTCAATGAAGGCCCGTCAGCCCCGGGGTACTCGCGAGGGTCCAGCTTGCCCTGGTGGTGGTGGTAGTGGTTGTTGTAGTTGTAGTAGTGGTTGTTGTGGTTGTTGTGACTCACCTTGAGTGAAGGCCCGTCAGCCCCAGGGTACTCGCGAGGGTCCAGCTTGCCCTGGTGGTGGTAGTGGTGGTAGTTGTTGTAGTTGTTGTTGTTGTAGTTGTTGTAGTAGTCGTTGTGACCCACCTTCAATGAAGGCCCGTCAGCCCCAGGGTACTCGCGAGGGTCCAGCTTGCTCTGGTGGTGGTAGTGGTGGTTGTAGTTGTTGTTGTTGTGACCCACCTTGAGTGAAGGCCCGTCAGCCCCGGGGTACTCGCGAGGGTCCAGCTTGCCCTGGTGGTGGTTGTTGTTGTTGTTGTAGTTGTTGTTGTAGTGGTGGTTGTGGTTGTTGTGACCCACCTTCAATGATGGCCCGTCAGCCCCGGGGTACTCGCGAGGGTCCAGCTTGCCCTGGTGGTGGTTGTAGTTGTAGTTGTTGTTGTTGTAGTTGTTGTTGTTGTGGTTGTTGTGACCCACCTTGAGTGAAGGCCCGTCAGCTCCGGGGTACTCGCGAGGGTCCAGCTTGCCCTGGTGGTGGTTGTTGTAGTTGTTGTTGTAGTTGTTGTAGTTGTTGTTGTGGTTGTTGTTGTAATTGTTGTGGTTGTTGTTGTTGTTGTGACCCACCTTCAATGATGGACCGTCAGCCCCGGGGTACTCGCGAGGGTCCAGCTTGCCCTGGTGGTGGTAGTGGTGGTAGTTGTTGTTGTAGTTGTTGTAGTTGTTGTTGTAGTTGTTGTAGTTGTAGTTGTTGTTGTTATGACTCACCTTGAGTGAAGGGCCGTCAGCCCCGGGGTACTCGCGAGGGTCCAGCTTGCCCTGGTGGTGGTTGTAGTTGTAGTTGTTGTTGTTCTAGTTGTTGTAGTAGTGGTTGTTGTGGTTGTTGTGACTCACCTTGAGTGAAGGCCCGTCAGCCCCGGGGTACTCGCGAGGGTCCAGCTTGCCCTGGTGGTGGTTGTTGTAGTTGTTGTTGTGGTGGTTGTGACTCACCTTGAGTGAAGGCCCGTCAGCCCCGGGGTACTCGCGAGGGTCCAGCTTGCCCTGGTGGTGGTGGTAGTGGTTATAGTTGTTGTTGTAGTTTTTGTTGTAGTTGTTGTGACCCACCTTGAGTGAAGGCCCGTCAGCCCCGGGGTACTCGCGAGGGTCCAGCTTGCCCTGGTGGTGGTGGTAGTGGTTGTAGTTGTTGTTGTTGTTGTGACCCACCTTGAGTGAAGGCCCGTCAGCCCCGGGGTACTCGCGAGGGTCCAGCTTGCCCTGGTGGTGGTGGTAGTGGTTGTAGTAGTTGTTGTTGTTGTTGTGACCCACCTTGAGTGAAGGGCCCGTCAAGCCCCGGGGTACTCGCGAGGGTCCAGCTTGCCTTGGTGGTGGTTGTTGTAGTTGTTGTTGTAGTTGTTGTAATTGTTGTTGTTGTGGTTGTTGTGACCCACCTTGAGTGAAGGCCCGTCAGCCCCGGGGTACTCGCGAGGGTCCAGCTTGCCCTGGTGGTGGTTGTTGTAGTTGTTGTTGTAGTTGTTGTGACCCACCTTGAGTGAAGGCCCGTCAGCCCCGGGGTACTCGCGAGGGTCCAGCTTGCCCTGGTGGTGGTAGTGGTTGTTGTAGTTGTTGTTGTAATTGTTGTTGTAGTTGTTGTGACCCACCTTGAGTGAAGGCCCGTCAGCCCCGGGGTACTCGCGAGGGTCCAGCTTGCCCTGGTGGTGGTGGGTAGTGGTTGTTGTAGTTGTTGTTGTAATTGTTGTTGTAGTTGTTGTGACCCACCTTGAGTGAAGGCCCGTCAGCCCCGGGGTACTCGCGAGGGTCCAGCTTGCCCTGGTGGTGGTGGTAGTAGTTGTGGTGGTTGTGACTCACCTTTAATGAAGGCCCGTCAGCCCCGGGGTACTCGCGAGGGTCCAGCTTGCCCTGGTGGTGGTTGTTGTAGTAGTTGTAGTTGTTGTAGTTGTTGTTGTGGTTGTTGTGACCCACCTTGAGTGAAGGCCCGTCAGCCCCGGGGTACTCCCGAGGGTCCAGCTTGCCCTGGTAGTGGTGGTAGTTGTAGTTGTTGTTGTGGTTGTTGTGACCCACCTTGAGTGAAGGCCCGTCAGCCCCGGGGTACTCCCGAGGGTCCAGCTTGCCCTGGTAGTGGTGGTAGTTGTAGTTGTTGTTGTGGTTGTTGTGACCCACCTTGAGTGAAGGCCTGTCAGCCCCGGGGTACTCGCGAGGGTCCAGCTTGCCCTGGTGGTAGTAGTGGTTGTAGTGGTTGTTGTTGTAGTAGTTGTTGTTGTAGTTGTAGTTGTTGTAGTTGTTGTTGTGACTCACCTTGAGTGAAGGCCCGTCAGCCCCAGGGTACTCGCGAGGGTCCAGCTTGCCCTGGTGGTAGTAGTGGGTGTAGTGGTGTTGTTGTAGTAGTTGTTGTTGTAGTTGTAGTTGTTGTAGTTGTTGTTGTGACTCACCTTGAGTGAAGGCCCGTCAGCCCCAGGGTACTCGCGAGGTCCAGCTTGCCCTGGTGGTGGTAGTGGTTGTTGTAGTTGTTGTAGTTGTTGTGACTCACCTTGAGTGATGGACCGTCAGCCCCAGGGTACTCGCGAGGGTCCAGCTTTGCCCTGGTGGTGGTTGTTGTAGTTGTAGTAGTAGTTGTAGTTGTTGTTGTGACTCACCTTGAGTGAAGGCCCGTCAGCCCCAGGGTACTCGCGAGGGTCCAGCTTGCCCTGGTGGTGGTTGTTGTAGTTGTTGTTGTTGTTGTGGTTGTTGTGACCCACCTTGAGTGAAGGCCCGTCAGCCCCAGGGTACTCGCGAGGGTCCAGCTTGCCCTGGTGGTAGTAGTGGTTGTAGTGGTTGTTGTTGTAGTAGTTGTTGTTGTAGTTGTAGTTGTTGTAGTTGTTGTTGTGACTCACCTTGAGTGAAGGCCCGTCAGCCCCAGGGTACTCGCGAGGGTCCAGCTTGCCCTGGTGGTGGTAGTGGTTGTTGTAGTGGTTGTAGTTGTTGTGACTCACCTTGAGTGATGGACCGTCAGCCCCAGGGTACTCGCGAGGGTCCAGCTTGCCCTGATGGTGGTTGTTGTAGTTGTAGTAGTAGCTGTAGTTGTTGTTGTGACTCACCTTGAGTGAAGGCCCGTCAGCCCCAGGGTACTCGCGAGGGTCCAGCTGCCCTGGTGGTGGTAGTGGTTGTTGTCAGTGGTTGTAGTTGTTGTGACTCACCTTGAGTGATGGACCGTCAGCCCCAGGGTACTCGCGAGGGTATAGCTTGCCCTGGTGGTGGTTGTTGTAGTTGTAGTAGTAGTTGTAGTTGTGTTGTGACTCACCTTGAGTGAAGGCCCGTCAGCCCCCAGGTACTCGCGAGGGTCCAGCTTGCCCTGGTTGGTGGTAGGTAGGTTGTTGTAGTGGTTGTAGTTGTTGTGACTCACCTTGAGTGATGGACCGTCAGCCCCGGGGTACTCGCGAGGGTCCAGCTTGCCCTGGTGGTGGTTGTTGTAGTTGTAGTAGTAGTTGTAGTTGTTGTTGTGACTCACCTTGAGTGAAGGCCCGTCAGCCCCAGGGTACTCGCGAGGGTCCAGCTTGCCCTGGTGGTGGTAGTGGTTGTTGTAGTGGTTGTAGTTGTTGTGACTCACCTTGAGTGATGGACCGTCAGCCCCAGGGTACTCGCGAGGGTCCAGCTTGCCCTGGTGGTGGTTGTTGTAGTTGTAGTAGTAGTTGTTGTTGTGACTCACCTTGAGTGATGGACCGTCAGCCCCGGGGTACTCGCGAGGGTCCAGCTTGCCCTGGTGGTGGTTGTTGTAGTTGTAGTAGTAGTTTGTAGTATGTTGTTGTGACTCACCTTGAGTGAAGGCCCGTCAGCCCCAGGGTACTCGCGAGGGTCCAGCTTGCCCTGGTGGTGGTAGTGGTTGTTGTAGTGGTTGTAGTTGTTGTGACTCACCTTGAGTGATGGACCGTCAAGCCCCCGGGGTACTCGCGAGGGTCCAGCTTGCCCTGGTGGTGGTTGTTGTAGTTGTAGTAGTAGTTGTAGTTGTTGTTGTGACTCACCTTGAGTGAAGGCCCGTCAGCCCCAGGGTACTCGCGAGGGTCCAGCTTGCCCTGGTGGTGGTAGTGGTTGTTGTAGTGGTTGTAGTTGTTGTGACTCACCTTGAGTGATGGGACCGTCAGCCCCCGGGGTACTCGCGAGGGTCCAGCTTGCCCTGGTGGTGGTAGTGGTTGTTGTAGTGGTTGTAGTTGTTGTGACTCACCTGAGTGATGGGACCGTCAGCCCCAGGGTACTCGCGAGGGTCCAGCTTGCCCTGGTGGTGGTAGTGGTTGTGTAGTGGTTGTAGTTGTTGTGACTCACCTTGAGTGATGGACCGTCAGCCCCACGGGTACTCGCGAGGGTCCAGCTTGCCCTGGTGGTGGTTGTTGTAGTTGTAGTAGTAGTTGTTGTTGTGACTCACCTTGAGTGGAAGGCCCGTCAGCCCCAGGGTACTCGCGAGGGTCCAGCTTGCCCTGGTGGTGGTAGTGGTTGTTGTAGTGGTTGTAAGTTGTTTGTGACTCACCTTGAGTGCTGGACCGTCAGCCCCGGGGTACTCGCGAGGGTCCAGCTTGCCTGGTGGTGGTTGTTGTAGTTGTAGTAGTAGTTGTAGTTGTTGTGTGACTCACCTTGAGTGGCAGGCCCGTCAGCCCCAGGGTACTTCGCGAGGGTCCAGCTGCCCTGGTGGTGGTAGTGGTTGTTGTAGTTTGTAGTAGTTGTTGTGACTCACCTTGAGTGATGGACCGTCAGCCCCGGGGTACTCGCGAGGGTCCAGCTTGCCCTGGTGGTGGTAGTGGTTGTTGTAGTGGTTGTAGTTGTTGTGACTCACCTTGAGTGATGGACCGTCAGCCCCGGGGTACTCGCGAGGGTCCAGCTTGCCCTGGTGGTGGTTGTTGTAGTTGTTGTTGTTCTAGTTGTTGTGGTTGTTGTGACTCACCTTGAGTGATGGACCGTCAGCCCCAGGGTACTCGCGAGGGTCCAGCTTGCCCTGGTGGTGGTGGTAGTAGTTGTTGTAGTTGTAGTAGTGGTTGTAGTTGTTGTTGTAGTTGTTGTGACCCACCTTGAGTGAAGGCCCGTCAGCCCCAGGGTACTCGCGAGGGTCCAGCTTGCCCTGGTGGTGGTGGTGTGGTAGTGGTTGTTGTAGTTGTTGTTGTAGTTGTTGTGACCCACCTTGAGTGAAGGCCCGTCAGCCCAGGGTACTCGCGAGGGTCCAGCTTGCCCCAGCGCTCCAGGAACGCGCTGCCCACTGCCCCCTCCTCGTCCAGCGTCTGGAAGCCCGAGAAGTTGGCGCCGCCGTGGGCAAAACGCTCCAGAGGCACGTCCCTGAAGCCCTGGGGGGCACGGGGGGGCATGGGGAGGGGGCACGGGAGGGGGCAAAAACGGGAGGGGCACGGGGGGCATGCGGGAGGGGCATAGGGAGCGGGGTGTGGCAATGGAAGGGGGGGGGTGGACAAGGGGGGACAGACATCACGGGGGGGTAGTGGTGGTGTTTGGTGGTGGTAATTGTAGTGTGGTGGTGGTAATTGTGGTTGTGGTAATTGTGGTGATGGTGGTAATGGTGGTGGTAATTGTGGTGATGGTGGTAATGGTGGTGGTAATTGTGGTGATGGTGGTAATGGTGGTGGTAATTGTGGTGATGGTGGTGGTAATTGTAGTGGTGGTGGTGGTAATTGTAGTGGTGGTAATTGTGGTGGTGGTAACTGTGGTGATGGTGGTGGTGGTAATTGTAGTGGTGGTGGTGGTAATTGTAGTGGTGGTAATTGTGGTGATGGTGGTAATGGTGGTGGTAATTGTGTGGTGTGGTGTAATGGTGGTGGTGGTAATTGTGGTGGTAATTGTGGTGATGGTGGTAATGGTGGTGGTAATTGTGGTGATGGTGGTGGTGGTAATGGTTTGAGGTTCTGCTGCTGTTGCTGACAATGCTGCTGCTGCTGCGATGATGATGCTTCTGATGATGCTGCTGCTGCTGATGCTGCTGCTGCTGCTGCTGATGATGCTTCTGATGATGCTGCTGCTGATGCTGCTGCTGATGATGCTGCTGACGCTGCTGCTGATGATGCTGCTGCTGCTGATGCTGCTGCTGATGCTGCTGATGATGCTTCTGATGATGCTGCTGCTGATGACGATGCTGCTGCTGCTTGCGACTCACCAGGTTGGCCAGGATGTATGATATCCCTTCACGTGCTTGCCGACTCGCATCACCTGCAGACCACACAGACAAAGCCCCCCCAGGTAGCCTTCACCAGACTGTATGGGCAAGTGCTGTCAGCAGCGAGTAGCAGCAGCAGTGCCTATGAAGGTAGACACAGACAAAGGTCCCCCGTGTAGCCTCTAGCAGGCTGTAGGGGCAAGTGCTGTTAGTAGCGAGTAGCAGCAGCAGCGTCTATGAAGGTAGACACAGACAAAGGTCCCCCGTGTAGCCTCTAGCAGGCTGTAGGGGCAAGTGCTGTTAGTAGCGAGTAGCACAGCAGCGTCTATGAAGGTAGACCAGACAAAGGTCCCCCGTGTAGCCTCTAGCAGCTGTAGGGGCAAGTGCTGTTAGTAGCGAGTAGCAGCAGCAGCGCCTATTAAGGCTACCGGCACTGTGGCACACAGAGAGGGGTGGGTGGCCAGCACCACGCCGCGGCCACCTTTGTCTCTCCCCCAGTGGCGATGTTCACTACTACACTACACCGCTACACCAGCTACTCGTTTGAGGCTGAGTCGACCTAGGGGAGGCCCAGACCGTGAGCGGGAATCAAACCCGGGTCGCTAGTTTCGTAGCGAGCGTAGCGCTAACCCCTATAGCCTAGGGCACCCCCAGTGGCAGCTGTCTCTGTGCGTCAGTCTGCTGCCTGTAGGAGAGTGATGGTTACTGCTGCTGTGTGGGTCCATAGCCTAGGGGCACCCCCAGTGGCAGCTGTCCCGGTGCGAGTGGGTGAGTGGGTGAATAGTGAGTGGGTGAGTGGGTGAATTGGTGAGTGGGTGAATTAGTGATGGGTGAATTAGTGAGTGGGTGAATTAGTGAGTGGGCGAATTAGTGAGTGGGTGAGTGGGTGAATTGGTGAGTGGGTGAATTAATGAGTGGTGAATTAGTGAGTGGTCGAATTAGTGAGTGGGTGAATTAGTGAGTGGGTGAGTGGGTGAATTGGTGAGTGGTGAATTAGTGAGTGGGCGAATTAGGATGGGTGAT